TGGCTGTGGCTACAATGTAGCTTGCCATCACCAGTGTGTGAATGGGTGACTGGTTGTGTAAAGCGCTTTGGGGTCCTTAGGGACTAGAAAAGCGCTATACAAATACAGGCCATTTACCATTTTACTCTGCAAATCACCAAAACTATTTCCAGTAAACAGTTCCTCATTCATCCGTTCAAATCGACTCTAATAAATAGATACAATTTAAAAGTAAATTAAATACAGAAAAATAATATTCTTGCACACAAGCCTCCTCATAGATCCCAAACCAGATGTGGAGTTTATTTCTGAGACTGGTAGAACTTCATTTTTTATTGAGCCTATTGTTGGCAATAAATTGTTGTTTACAATAAATGCAGTCTACTACTATGTGACTTCCATAAATTTAAGGTTTTCCTTCCTGTTATTTAGGGGTGGTTTTTTTTTGTTTCTGGGAGGAGAGTACATGCTCTCACAGTTACCCCATGATTAATAAAAAAGAGTGATATACTAAGTAGCAGACTACTTGAATAAGCAAGTGCAATATTTTCCGCTATGACCATGAATTTATTTTATAATTTTTAAATTGATATTATGCTCATCTATCAGCCGGTAATCGGTCAGGACTACATCATTGTCCTGTCAGGGATGAGCCATTTTAAGCGGCTGCATCTGTTAATTCATATAATGATGTTCATATTATGTAAGCAGCTATTAATGGGAATAATTCAAGCAATGAAAAAACAGATTTTTTTATTTTATGTTGTCCTTTCTGTATTTGCAGTCTGTTCACGCTGCTTCCTAAATCCCTCTTCTTCATTGGTAAATTGATGATGTTGTTAACCTAATTTTACTTTTTTGTGTGTATTTGCACCAAACAGATATTATACAATATAACAACACTTAAGAAAGTGCCCCAAGCAAGTTTCCTGTAAGCTTCTTTGTGTCTTTCTATTCCTACAGACCTCAGTTTCCTAATCCCCAGTGACAAATTTCTTTTAAAATATTTTTATCAGTTATGTTGGCCCATATAAATCCTAATGCACATCTAAGCAAAGTTGTTTCTTGGCAGGAAAAATAGTCCCCTGTTTCTTAATCTAACAGCTCATTCCACCTCCACACCTCGCAGTTAAAGCAGGTACAGAGAACTAAAAGAAATCACTGCTTTTATCAGATGAATGCAGTACAATAAAAAGCACTTATAGTCATCTTTTTTTTTTTTTTGCTTTCAGAGTTCTAAGCACAAACCAGCTGTTTGAAGCATTTTCCAATCAGATTTCAGGCTGCACTGATTCTCCTAAATGTCTTGATTTATACTTCCAGACTGAAGCATTCTCCATCATCTCTCTCTTCTTCTTCATCTCCTTTGTGTCTCCCTCCCCTCTGTTTTCTCCCACTTGACCGTCTTTCATCTTCTTTTCCACCTCTGATAACTTATTTCCTGTCCGATTTGTTTCATGTGCTCAGTGTTGAGTTTGCCATCAGGGACAAGTGAAAGAGGCCAAAAAACACAAAAAACAACAACTAGCTTTTGATTTCTGTGATTCTGTGTGATGGATGCTTGAGGGACTTATCTGAAGAACAAAATTAATCCAGGGACTTGTATCACCGTCACCTCGACAAATAACGTTTGATCGGCTGGATATGAAGCAGACAGCAATTTAAGGTTACTAATGATATTTCCTTTCTCTTTGAATCCAGCTTTTTCAGTGTTTCTTTTTCTCTGACACCTTCAGTCTGTCAGCTGCCTAACCGCTCCACAGTAATGATGAAAAATACATCTGTGCCTAATCACCTGCTTTTTAAAAACATACAAAGCCACATATCCACAGCAGACAGCCTCTACTCACCTACAAAATGTAATTTTGTAATGAGGAGCCTGATAGTACATCGACATTTAGCCTGAGTGTTATCACCATGGAGTTTAATAACAGCACAGCAGATGCCAAATCATGCTTGTCTGTGAGCCTCGAGTCTAAAAGCACTCTTCAGCTCTCAATCAAACATTGTGAGCGTGTCTGAGTTTGCATTTGTCACGGAGGAACAGGCCTGCTACGTAAGAGTCTTGGGCCCAAAGTGTCAGGGCGGCTCTGGGTAAAATCCATCTTTAATGTTTCTCATTAGAAGGTTAATCAAGCAATAAGACATGCCAGAAATGACCAAAAGTTAAAGACTCTGACAAACTCAACCTAAACTACACAAAAATTATATGAAGAGATTAAATGGCAAAGAGATCAAATCCAACCACAATAAGACATGATGAGAGTCCAAAACTCCTTTTAAGAGAACAGTATCATTTTTTATATAGATAGTCTTTATTCTTTTTAAACGTACTTTAAGACGTTTGTAGAGAAGTAAAAGTGAGATAATGGAAGCAAGATTTACTTACTTACTTTACTTTCAATAACCAAACTTTTATGTGAGCAGGCAATGGATAATGGGTATTAATTTGTTAATACCTGGACATGAATAACTTTATTTGATTATATAATACTACACCACAGTATATTTCCAAATAACTGGTCAGCTTTTGTTTTTAGTGTTTTAGTGTTGTTTTAGTGACCTTGCAAGAATTTCAACATTACATTGTAACAAGTTCAAAACAAGGATTCAAAAGCATCATATTAAAGTCCAGGTGGAAAGAGACAAAAAGGCACAAAGTCCTGTTGTATTATTATCATAACCACACACAGGTTATCACGTCCTCTAAAGCTGCCTATTAGACTGCACCCTCTTCAAAGATCTTCAAAGCTGTTCACATTTCTCCCAATCAAAAAACAAACAAACTTTAGTATCTGAAGCAGCTGTAAACCCAGATTTTTCTTTTTACAGTCCTTTGTGCTTTCTAGCGGACCAACAGAGCAAAGCTCAAAGTTACTACAACTGCTTTAATACAATTCCCAGATGATGTATCTTACTAATTTTGCTGTTGTCATTGTTGGGTTTTGTAATGCAGAGCACCTTCTGAAACTGTACTACAGCATTTGCAACTTTAAATACAATACCATCGATACTTTTAAAGTAGAAGGATGACAGTCCACCCACCAACGCTCCCTGAAGCAGGCAGCTGTATGTTCCTCTATGTTCCAGAAACACTGTTGTCATGGTGTTTCTGTTTCACGTTTCAAAATTATACATGCATGACTGTTGTCAATAAACTGATTAACTGGCTGATCATTTCTGCACATCTTTCTCTTGAGAATAAAGCAAGACGAAGGCCGACTGGGATGGGAGTAAATATCTCTTTTATGAGGGCTGCAAAGCTTCACAGTGAAGCACCGAAACCAGTTTTCTGTCAAACCAGCCAAACTTAATGAGAATTATCCATCTTTGACCCTCCTGCTCCTAATGTGCAGCAACAATTTCAGTCTACCTTCGCTGCGCCCGTCCATCTCCAACCATCCCGCCCTCCTCCTCTACCCGCTCTATCTCTGTCTCTTTCTGTCACTTTCCTTCTATTTGTTATGAGCCGGTAATGAGAACATGGCGTGCGGGAGATTGCTCAGTTTATCTCCTTCTACCCAGTTCCTGCTAGTATCATCCAAAACCTTTTTTGAGACATTTTCTTATTACATTTATCACAACATGTGACTGCCAAAGCCCCTGCAGACAATTAAAAAGAACAAATAACCCAAAACAATAAAGGAAGTTCACCGTTCAACGTTTTAAGGCCGATGTATATCGGGTAATAAAATGGGCAAGTATGCAAGGTGAACTGCTACTGTCAGCCACAGAGAGAGAAGGAAACACTGTCAAACCTCAGATTCAGCCCACAGGAGTAAGGTGGAGGCAAACCTGCACTTTCCTCCCACACTGTGACAGACAGAAAAATGGAAAAAATTGTTTTAGCTTCAAACTTAATGGAAAATTTGACTTTATTTGGGAACAGATACGGTCCAACTGTTGTGTTTGTGTGGTGAAATAGAGCAGACTGGTGAGCTCCACTCAAAAGAAATATTTAAGCTCAAAGATCTGACTTAAAATAATTTGATTACATTTAAATGTAATCCATGTAATTTTGTTACATAATTACAACGTGAAATGTTAAAGTTAATGGAATCTGGTCAAATAAGTGTTTCTGTGAAGGTTCTCAGTCATCCAGGTCATTGTAGTCAAAGGAGCTTGCAAAGAAAAGTGTCTGGACTTCTCTAAAGAAGTCCAGACACTTTTCTTTGCAAGCTCCTTTGACGTCAAATAAGTGTGTTTGATTGGTATACATTCAGTCTATATTTTACTTAACAAACAATTATTTGACTACATAAACCTTTGATTTAATATATGTGAAATATATGTACACACTGTCTGCGTGTATACAGTACCTCTGCTAAATCAGTGTTTTCAAACTGTGGGGCAGGGTCCTGGAGTGAGACAAGGAGCCACCACAGGTGTGGTTCTATGACGTGAAGTTGGATGTCATTTTCTTAAGGAAAAATAAGCTGAGCTTTAACCTCC